CGGCTTCCAGCTCTGGTTGATTCGGGAGCTGTAGTGCAGACAACACGTACAAGCCAGCCCTCCCAGCTGTACAGGGCAGGCATAGCAATGTAGTTCTCCCTTGGCAGGTCGAAGGGATTTTTTTTTTTTTTTTTTTTTTCCCTGTGTGTCAGCTTCCATTTTTCATAGTTAGCTGAGAATATAGAAAAAGAGAGATTTTATAGATATATTTTTTTTTCCATCTGCTTTATGTCCCCTCCCGCTCCCTCCCCCAGCCATCCCAGCCCTGGGAGAGGGGGAAGCCGCTCCCTCTGCTCCCGATGAAATACCGCACGGTTTATAACATTATTTAATGTTATAAAATAACGGGACAGGAACAGGGATTTTTTAATTTTTTTGGCACGCCAACCATTTCTTTCCTCTTTATTCCGGGCAGGTCCATCAAGCTCTGAGCGCGGTGGTTTTACAAATAATTTATAATTTATTTAATAAGACCTCCTCAGGTGGAGGCCAGGGCCGGGGGGAAGACACGTGATATTTGTGCTTTCCTCCTCAAAATTCCCTTCGTGCCTTTGCCAACCCCCCTGCAGCTTTGCACGAGGGGTCCTGGGACTGTTTGTAGTGGTTCGTTGCGCGTCCCGGCGATGGTTTGGGAGCCACGCTGGTTGTTTCGATCCTTCTTGGTGCCACCGATGGCTCCGGTGGAGCCCGGCGCACTGTTGGGACAGGGAGAAGGACGGACAGATGGATGGACAGACAGACGGGAAGGACGGAGGTCGCAGGGCACCTGCTGCGATGGGGGAGCAGCTCCAAAAAACCCTTTTCTAATCATAGCTCCGGTTTCCTGTTTTCCCACGCCGCGGGGCTGCTGATGGCCGAGCCGGGGCGGTGGGGTTTTTGCTGGGGGGCTTGGCCACATCGGAGGGGACCTGGAGCCCTCCTGCCTGCGCTCCTCTGCCCGCTCTCCTGCCTGTCTCCATCATGAGGCCTTTTCCCTGCCGCCACCTCCTCGTTTGGCCCCATCTCCTGGTGCATCAGCTCCTCATGCCATCATCCCGAAGTCCCCCATCCCATGCTCATCATCCCAAGCAATCTTAAATATATATATATATACACATACACACACACATAGCCGGTGGGTAAATGCACACTGTGGGCGGCGTGCGGGTACATATATAATCTATATAAAATAGCCGGTGGCGGGTGTGTACGTGTATGGGAAAGCGCATTTAATAGCCCCAGCAATTACCCTTTTTGTGCACGCAGGCGTGGCGCAGAGCGGGACTCCCGGTTCTGGCTTTTGCCTGCCTGCGCCGCGGAGAGGGGGGGTAAATAAGGCGGACGGAGAGAAAGCGTGTGGGGAGAACCAATCGTGCCTGGGGATATTGCGAGGATCCAGGGCCGCTTTCACTTGAAAAAGCCTAAATTTGGTGCATGGGCAGCTGGGAGGTGACACGGAGCGGTTTGAGGCAGGGAAGGGGAATTTCCGAAGCCAGTTGGGATGCTCGGTGTCTGGATGGTCTTCTGGCCTGGCTGCGGCATTGGGGTCTGCCATGCGAAATGGCTCCTGTTCCTCAGTGCTGCCTACAGCTGCTGGCGCGTAGGTCTGAGTCACCCCCAAAACTCGCCTTGTCCTGCGCCGTGCTGCTCCGTATCGTGAGGGTCGGGTGGTCCCCTCCTCTCTGCCTTAGTTTCCCCCAAAAAATGAGCCTGGAGGGGCCCAGCCCATGGCTCTTTTTTGGGCTGGGCTGGCCATGTGGGTGCTAAGTCCCTGATGGGAGCAGGACCCCCTTTTGCTGGGTGCTGCCCACCCGCCTACAGCAAGCTCAGGGTCTGGTTTAAACCTAGAGGCAGTGAGTGAGTGTGAGGAGGAGGAGGAGGAGGAGGAAGGCTCATCACCCCATCCCACCCCCAGGGTGCTTTTTTTGTGGGAGCGGGGATGTTCCCAGACAGCACTGGCGCCATTCAGAGGAGGCTGCCCGTCCAGCATACACAGGACCGTGTCCGAATCCCTGTGGCCATGACCCGGGGCTCTCTGTGCCTTGGTTTCTCCGGCCACCAGTACTCTGCCGCAGGCACCTCACCCCCAAATCCTGCCACCCCGAAGGCTTTCGGGGACATGTTCTGCCAGAGGCGCTGGTCTAGTTTCTCCCGGGATCCCGGCCACGGCCTGGTTTATATTACAGACAGAGCTCCTCGGGGACCTCTCCTATATGTTCCACTGGGGTCCCTTATACACTTTACCCTAAAACACCCCCGGCACGAGGTTTGCCAGCGCGGCGATGCCCGTTTATGCTGGGCTGTTACTCCGGTGTTGTTTTCTCGCCGTCCCCCTTTCAGATGTTTTCCATTATCCGAAGATAGATTTAGAATTAATTTTCCCAATGTGTTTAAGCGTCTCTATAAATCTCCCGGCCGCGCTGCAGTCGGGTTTTCCTGTCGAGCCACCCGCAGGCATCGCAGGTCGCTTCGCTTGGGATTGGGGGTGGCTTTTTTTGGGGGGGGGGGGTTGTGTGTGAATTCAGCCAGGGTTGGCTTCAGGTTCAATGTGCCGCCATCATGCTCGTCCTCCCTGCGGTAGCATCCCATCCACCTCCGTAATCTCTCCTGGAGATACTGGAGGAGCGGCACGGATACCTCTGGGGCTTGGGAGATTTGGGCGGTTTTTTTCCCTCAAATTTTATCCCCCCCCACTTCCTTGCCAAATTGCATCTTTGGGCGCTCACTGGTGTTTCGGGGTCTTCGAGGTGCTCGGTGGGTGCTCGGCGTTACCCTGATGCTGCAGGAATTTCCAGCTGTGAGGATGCTCAGGAGGTTCCCTGGCCCTGCCTGCTCCCTGTCCTCTTTCAGAGCCTGGGTGTTCCTTTTGGGGGTGGGTGGGGTGGTTGGTCTCAGTGGGGTTTGAGGTGGGAGGTGGGGGGATGTGTGTGGCGACCGCTGTCACCCCGTAACCCGTCTCCTTCTCTCCCCGCAGGATGGCGGAGCCTCGCTTCAACAACCCCTACTTCTGGCCGCCACCTCCCACCATGCCCAGCCAGGTAGGACCCCCCCGGCACGGGGAGGGCGGGATTTTGGGGAGGAAGGAGGACAGACAGACATGGGGGATACCCAGGGGAGGAGGCTGGGGGTCCCTCTTCCTCCACCCCTGACCCCCTCCCCCTCTCCGCCTTCCCCCTATCAGCTGGACAACCTGGTCCTGATCAACAAAATCAAGGAGCAGTTGATGGCGGAGAAGATCCGCCCCCCGCACTTGCCCCCCACCTCCGTGGCCTCCCAGCAGCCCCTCCTGGTGCCCCCCTCACCCGCCGAAAGCAGTCAGTCCATCATGTCCCTCCCCAAACTGCAGCAGGTCCCAGGTCTGCACCCTCAAGCCGTCCCCCAGCCCGACGTGGCCCTGCACGCCCGACCAGCCACCAGCACCGTCACAGGTACCACCACGGGGGGGTTAGCGGCTCCCGGTAATGCCGTGGACATTTTGGGGAGGGTTGCCCCAATTTAGAACCTTGCTGTGAGACAAGAGGGGATGGTGGACCCACCCCCAAACTAACACCCCCTTCTCTTCACCCACCAGGGTTGGGGCTGGCTTCCCGCGCGCCGGCGGTCAGCACCTCCGAATCCAGTACGGGGACGGGGACCACCACTCCATCGACTCCCACCTCCACCAGCCAGAGCCGCCTCATCGCCTCCTCGCCCACCCTAATCTCAGGAATCACCAGCCCCCCCCTCCTCGACTCCATAAAGACAATCCAGGGCCACGGCTTGCTGGGGGCACCCAAGGCGGAACGAGGCCGTAAGAAAATCAAGGCGGAAAATCCCTCGGGACCGCCGGTCCTGGTGGTGCCCTATACCATCCTGG